TTTTTTGTATGTTACGTAACACGCGCTCAAAACTAAATGCGTATAATATATCGCTTGAGGTTATGACTAAATTCAAAATTTTTATTTTTCGATACGTTTCTCAATCGGTAAACAAACTTAAAAAGTATGTTTAGTGCTTTATCTGTAAAATAATGCCAAAATGAAGAGATTTTAGATGATACGCCAAAGAGAAAATGATGTCTGAAGTTCAGTAAGTTTTGCTTATATGGCTGTAAATATGGCGTCAATTTTAAAGCATCATTGATAATTGTATTTTAATTGACAATTTTTAACTATTATTTTATGTTTCTCAACCGGCAGATGCATTTAAAAAGGTAGCTAACTCTATAAACTAGAGAATAAAGCTAAAACAAAGTAATTTTGAGATGAACGCCAAAAAGATTTTAGGTTTTGAACACTTTTCATTGCAAATACGCGACATTGAAAAAAATTGCCTCTTAATACGCATTTGATTGGTTAATCGCGTAGATTAAACGCATCTGATTGGTTAATTGTAGCGGTAGTGTAAATCAAATGTGAATCTCTCTACCACAGAGTAGAGGCCTGCACCACACAGAAGTCCGACTTCTGGTCGGCACCTATGATTTTGGCGTAACCGTTGCAATGCTGTCGCCAACAGTGCGCTTACGAGAGGCATTCACCCCCCTGAAAATATTCAAAATGGCGGACGTTCAAACCGTGTCTGGCGATATACAGTGGTTTTTATCTGCCCAGAGACGAATCATTTGTCAAGTATTTATTTATCAATCTGATGGATTAATCGGCGGGATGATTTGTTTAATAAAGCTCTTATCACGGCTTTGATAAACATCCAAAATTACATTTCAAAGTTGAATTTATAGCTTGGTTTGATTCTAGTGACAGTATACGTATAAAGTTCATTTAAACGATTTTTTATGGTCAAGAAAAAAATTTTCGTGACACGGTTCATCCCAGCTGGCCAGACTCATTAGCCCGTTACTGCATGTAAACACAAGGCGAACTGTCCAGCCAATGGAGCGCTCGAGGAAGTGGAGAGCGAGCTACCACAAACCTACAACGAAGGATTTTAGAATGATTGGAAAGTGTACAAAAATTTCCATACCTGCAATAGTCACGGTGATGGGATAGTAGTCTTTGCCATGAATATTTGTTGCGTAACACTCGTAATTGCTACTGGATCCTTTCGTGACATTGACCGTCCACTTTAGATATGTGTGTGTGGTTTTATTCTGTACGACGACACCATCTTTCACCCAGATTATGCGAGGTCTTGGATGACCCATAGCTGGGCATGTAAGCACAGCGACATGTCCCTCGTAAAATATACGACTGCGTGACCCAGGTTCATCTGTACGTAATGTTATAAAAGCTGTGAACGAGAAAAATAATTCTTAAACTGATATCTATATTGGTTTAGGGGAAGGGGCGGCGCTAGCCCTATTTGAATGGTGGGGGGGGTGTAAGTGAAATTTTGCCGAGTCGTTTCCACCACTGCACATTAAACATTTTTTCCTAATTAATATTTCTATTCTATAAATTTCTTGGCGAGCGGGGGAGGGGGTTTGCGCCTGAACATAAATCATTTTCCGGATATATTTTTCATTGTCTTTCGGATTGACGTACCGTTACTCGTTTAGTTTTTCCTTAATGTTTCCGTAATTTACCCAAACTTTTAGCTATATTAATTCATTAGTTTTTAATAAATTTTACTCCAACATTTTAGTTTTCCCTACCAACGAAAGTTTTGTTAGTGTTGGTATGAACTACCAAATCCACTTTCCATTACGGTGTCTTCATATTTGAGACCAGGATATGTAATTGAATGAGCACGATTTTTGATCCATTCTATATCTTCACTGAGTACTTTGGCAGGGACTGGTGGAACACATGATGGATGCGTACTCCAAAACTGATCTAATACATGTCTTGTAAAACTGTATGATATCATTATTTAGCTCGTTTTAGCTGGACCAAAAGATATAATCGCTTGGAGCATTTTGATATAATTATATTATTTACGCGTGTGTTCCATTTAAGTTGGATCTAACACCCAATAGTTTTGCCAATAGTAACACCCAATAGTTTTGCCAATGCTAAGCGGGATGATTTTGATGCATTAAAATAAGTCACGGTGCATGATTCAGCAAAACTACATTATTTTCTAGTAATAGATTATAGTATATTGTAAACGAAAGATTGTTCAAGCAGCAATATAATAATCTTCTTGAACTACGAGATCTTCTCGACAACATTTGAGTTCTTTCAACCGGCGTTTGAGCTTTCGTTTAAGCCTAGTGATTTATTCAATATATCTCAATCATCCAGACTTTCATCCCGTCTCGGCAAACGGGGATCACAGAATAAAGATACACAGAAGGTCAACTAAGCCAAAAAAGCGTAACCGCTCCACGCCATGATTCGTCATCAAAATGCGGACGCCATGGTCCTAGCCAGTGCGCTTATGAGAGGCATTCACCCCCTTGACACAGAATAAGAAGGTACAGCAGAAGTCTCACTCAAGCAAGTCCGCGTTTTTACAAGCGATTCGTCATCAATCACGCCATCCTGGCTAGTACAACCGGCACTTTGTACCTACCCAAACCTGATAAAAACTTCCGGTTGTACTAGCCAGGATGGCGTGAGCGAGTTAAAATTTTCGTGGACGTAAAACAATAAGGGAACCGACTCGAGTTACACTTCTGCTGTACCTTCTTATTCTTGCGCCCTGGACGTCCGCCATTTTGAATATTATCAGGGGGGTGAATGCATCTCATACGCGCACTGGCATAGATTAGGTATGTACAGATGTGTAACTTCAGTAAATGAAAGTTGTCCCACGGTCGCCATCTTCCTAGCAAGTGTCGCTCGCGTGATAATTCGTCATTTGGTAATACGTCTTGCTTTCAAAAATGCTTTCAACACTTTGTTAACAACTTTAATTGCTTTCAAGAACTTTAAACATTCAACATTGATTGTTTAATCCAAAAATTTCGATCCAAAAAGGCCGCAATAAAGTGCAAAAGTTCGTGTTTTTCAGGACGCCATTTTGTTAGCATCATGGCGTGAGCATGACGTGTACATCTAGGGAAATTTGAGGACACGAAGTCCTATGAAGTTACACATCTGGTATATTCTTAATCTGTGGCACTGGCTAGGACCATGGCGTCAGCATTTTGATGACGAATTACGGTTACGCCAAAATCATAGCAAAAACCAAGAAGTCGATCTTCTGTTTGTCTCTATTCTGTGCCGAGATCGTGTAAACAGCCCCTTATTGAAGAGGCAGTTTTTTCAATGTCGCCTATTGCGATGAAAAGCGTTCAGAACCTAAAACCTTTTTGGCGTACCTCTCAAAATTACTTTGTTAGCTACCTTTTTAAATGCATCTGGCGGTTGAAACACAAAATAGTAGCAAAAAATTGTCAATTAAAATAAAATTATCAATGATGCTTTAAAATTGACGCCATAGTTTCCAGCAATGTAAGTAAAAAGACCTGAATTTCAGACATCATTTGACTGCAAAACTATAGAAAAACGGAAAATCTTTTCTATTTCTTAATTATTATATTTCTATCATTATTCTTCTTATTATTATACGGATCAAATGAGACAAACTTACGCTGTGTTTCTTCATAAATTTCTATTTCCCAAATCTGAAGAGCTTGAAGGAGCTGGGACTCAAAGTAAAAATAACGATCAGGTTTGCGAGGCAATACGTATACGACGGAGTGTTTCTTTTTAGAGAAGTCGTGGACGTCGCCAATCTTTGCATTGTGTTTCCCATTGTCAGTCAAATCATCCCCTATTTGGCAATAGTAATAACAACGATGTAAGCTTTATTTACTAATTATTACCTCAAGACTCAAGAGGTTATGTTTTCTGAGACTTAACCAGGAGCAGTTGAGAAAAATGCAACTATAGGCCCTCTGGCAGGAATAGCCTGCGAACAGGCTCTCAAGCTGAATTGAGAGCCTGCATCGATGACTAATGAATTTGAATATCTGCCCCGTAACGTTCGTTTTTCCAAATATGGAATGTCTATCCTTATATGGTGTTGTTTACAACTTTCGTGCAAACTAAATTTAGACCATGCAAACTAAATTTAGACCGTACAGTTTATACTGTTTTTCGAAATATAAGATATTGAAGCAAAAGTTTACATGTTTTAAATACTGTTTTCTCAAAATAGAACATTCCGTGCTTTGAGATAAGGTGGCCACGACCAATTTGATCAGTTAATGTGTTTTTTTATGCATAGTGCTAGCAGTTGACATATATAGAGCTCAGCGGAATAATATAAATTATAGCATTTGACCAATGAGAATTTCGCGTCACGATTTGAGACGCAGATATTCAAATTCATTAGTCATCGATGCAGGCTCTCAATTCAGCTTGAGAGCCTGTTCGCAGGCTATGGCACGAATCGAACCTGCGACCCTGCGATTCCGGTGCCGCCCTCTAACCATTTGAGCTACAGAGTCTAGTTGTCGAGTTCTAACCGCAAGTTCATGTATGTAGATACAAGGAATCGTGAATTTAGCCTTGATTTGTAAACTCTGGCTGTGCACTTGTCTTACTGGACGAGAAAATCGTTGCGGCACATGTTGCAACTTTTTTTCTGCCGGCAACGCGATCAAATTTCATCCGCCCACCGGGCACACGACGTTGTTTCAACGTTGAAATTTGGTAGAAAAAAGGTTGCGACGTCGACAACCTAATATCTACGTTGCTCTGACGTTGTTCTACAAACATTGGTTCAACAGCAGCCAACAGACGTTGAATTAACGTTCATTCATGGTTAAATGTACGACGTCGATTTGTGAACCAATCTCAACGTTGTTTTAACGTGGATTCAACGTTGAATTATGGTTGACGAGATTGGCAGCCTAATTTCAACGTTGTTTCAACGTCGAAACAGTAACGTCGATCCAATTTGCATAGTCAACCCTTTTTCAACGTCTATCCAACGTCTGGAAGGTCATTTCCAACGTTGATTCAACGTTGGATAAACGTCATTTTGCCCGCTGGGCGGTGCGTTGCCAGCCCTATATCATTAATAGAGGATAATGTATGTACGTACCTAAGGTCATGATTACTTTTTTGAAGCGCTCCAAGTAGTTTGTTTTTGGCAAGACAAAGATTTTATGGACTTTCCTTCTTTCTTCAAAGTCAATCATCAGCCAGTGCGGTAGAGCACCATCATCAGCCGTACGAAATCAATAATATTCAAGTATTCCATCAACAGCGTGACTTGAGTCTGCGGCCTCTGTGTTTATACTTGAATGACGGGTTGGCCTTTTAAATGCAACGTTTACTAAAAGTAGAAACAAAAAACATTTACAAAAAATTTCTAGTCTGCAAATTTATAAAAATTCAGCAAGAAAGCTTTTATACAAGGAGTGGACTACTTAATACCTCCTAACATTTTTTTTCTTTAGGAATTAATTAGTATCTCAATTTTATAATTTAAATAGTTTTAGATAATCGTAAATAATTTTAAATCTGTAAATATAATATAGTTTAAATTTTGGAGCATATATTAGTCATTATCACATTACTTGTAACTGTTTCTGAAAAAACATTTTTGGAGAATGAGCGTTGGCAGTCACTGATTGTTATGGGGGACACTTCAAACTTTTCAATCTCTAGATTAACAAACTATAGTATTGGGAAAGTATTAAAAACAGCTAACGATGATCGCGAGACTGCCAACTCTCACGCACTCTCATCTTCGTTTGATCCGGACTTGAAGGCCAGTCCCAGTCTTTTCACGCATGCGAAGAGCGCGCAATCTGTCAATCATGACATAAACACGCGTGATCGGACCTCTAGACACGCGTGTATGGAGGTCAAATTTGGCTTCAAGAGAAAGATAGGCAGTTTATCTGAAGGTACCGTTCAGTTATATTCATTTCAATGTTGTTAACTCATTAATACCCAAAGCTCTCCTGACTCAGAGATCTTTACTATGTTAGCGAGCTCAGAATAGTCGCAATGTGAACTTACGAGTTGGTTCCTTATTCACCATGACTTCAAGTAAGACAAGACAATATATAACAGGGGGATTAGCCTTCTTAACAGTCACAAATTTGCCATACACCTCACAGCGGAATGTGTGCTTGGGTATGTTGTTCATGTTTTTAGGTTCCCCGCATAGAGGATTAGTCTTGCCTCCATCGTCATTCAACCTCTCACCTAAAATCGCAAACTTACAATTAGGGTAGGGAAAGAAGGGGCGTAGGGAATCCATGGGTGGAAAAAGTGTCGGACAACGGGACCATTGGCCCCAGAAAATTTTTGGAGTTCCCAGAAAATATTTCCCCAAGAAAGAAAAAAAAGGATAAATGTAATAATTTAGAGAAAAGGAGAAATTCAGAGGAAAATTCACGCAATGACCTGAGAAATGCAATTATAAGTGCAACCATCTCAATAGTGCGATAGTGTATAAATGTGTTAGACTATAGAAGGAGGTAACAAATGTTGTATGGCAAATAAACTTTTTGCCAATCTGGGACACCTGATTTTCAAAATTTTCTTGGGGAGCATGGCTCCCCCTGATAGTGCCCATATATAGTAGTGCCCTTTTTTTGCATCTGCATTACCTTAGGATCAGACCCTTGATACATGTTATCTAAATTAGTTTTATGTTATATTTTAAGATTCTCAGTGCACTGAAATAATTTTTCCGTAAAATATAGCATGACATCCAGTTTGACAACTTGTTAGTGTCACACAGTTACAGTGCCCGAGTGTGGATTTACTCGATTATTTGCAGAAAATTTTCAATGTTCTCTTGCAGTCCTAGAAAGTAAATTTTTTCCTAGAAAGTACATTTTTTCCGGGCGTGTCTTGACCCTCTGCCTCAGGTAGCTTACCACACCTTGTCTGAAAGAGTAAAATAAAATCAATAAAATCATTAATAGATCATTATACATACCGACTCTAACTTCAATGGTTTCCACACGATCTACACAGCAATCACGCCGGCTAATAATCTCAACAGTTTGAACCAAATACATGTCGTCCAACTCGACATACCAGTATGGGTCAGGATCATCATTTGGAAGAGCTGATGCAAAATGCTGCGCTGTTTTAACATCATCTACTCGCCCATTCACAGCATTCATTCCTTCAGTGTCAGAAATGTACTTGCTCGATTCACCAGTTTTCTCATGCAGGGCGAGATTTGCCGAAACACCTAAAAATGACACACAGCGGGTTGGTTTAACTAAGCGCTATCATGTTAGGTTTTTCAAAGAAAAATTTAGATGTTACGATGATGTTACGAAAGCTTCAGGTGTTTGACAGGGTGGGGCAAGGCTTTAGGTCTTTGGCAGTTTAGACGAAATGCTGACTGGTTTCAAAATATTGTCGAGTGACCTTTAATTGATTCTTACAAAAGTTTACGACCTTTTTAATTAATAACAAGTATGTTAATAGACTTAAAAGATTCTCAAAGTTGAATGACTTCAATAACGACCTTTCCATAACAAGCATTTTAGTAGATTCTCGAAGTTAAATGCCTTAATGAGAAAAATAGTATTGATCCATCATTTACTGTCGTCTGTCGCTTATTCAGGGCCGTAGCGACCGGAGGGTCGGAACACTAAGGAATATCAAAATTTGGTTGTGAGAGCACTGGGTGGAACACCAACGTCAAGTAGTCGGCAAATTGTTGTATTCCAGTCGGAAAATTGTTTTCCCAGGCAGTGGGGGAAGTGGGTAAAACATTAATTGGATTCGAAGGAAAATAACTAAAATATTTGAGTGAAGCTGATTAAAAACTAATAATTCTAGTCTGAAAGTTTGCAGCATGATATTTCGAACTTGAACAATTGGAGTCATAACTCTAACATGAAATTTAACGCCTCCAAGTGTAAGGTATTAACAATAACTCCAAAAAAATCACCTGTAATTACTGACTATCGTCTGGGTAATGTAATTTTAAAACGCGCTCACCAAGAAAAAGATCTGGGAATTATTGTCAAAAGCAACTTATCCTGGGATTCTCACATTTTATCAATCGTCAGTAAAGCCAACAAGATGCTTGGTATCTTAAAGAGAACTTGTCCCCTGATTAGAGATACTAAAGTTAGGCGAACACTATACCCGACTTTGGTAAAATCAAAGTTGTGCTACGCAACGGAGGTGTGGTCCCCAGCTAATGTGAAGCTACAAGTTGCATTAGAAAGAGTTCAAAGGCGCGCTACACGTTGGATCCTCAAAAGTAAAGTTGGAGAAATGTCTTATGAAGATAGACTGAAAACTCTCAATTTGTTGCCACTAACTTACGATCGAGAAATCAGAGATCTTGTTCTGGTCTATAAATGTATTTTCGGCCACACTGATTTGAACATTGAACATTTTGTGTCATTTATACATCATAATCGAACTCGTACTCAGAATCCATCTCTAATGTTAAAATTTCCTTACTGTAGAACATCCACTTTCCAAGTATCGTTCTTTAACCGAATAGTTAAAACTTGGACTAATGTTGGAAAAATAGCCTCTCCTGAAAAGTTCGCCAGTTTAACAACTTTTAAAAGCTTTCTGCATGTGACATACACCGCATTGGTCAACAGTACTTTTAATGTTGATATGGCATGCACTTGGTCGCTCACAAGAGACTGCCCCTGCCACCGTTCTTAATATGCATGTTATGTAATATATATTTGTATATAGTGAATTAGGTTGGTTGTTTTTTTTGGGGTTTTTTTCTTTTTTTGGAGGGGGTGCGCCTAGCATGGGTCTCGTTGTCCCGTTTGCGCTATCCCCTTTGGACTTAAACTTGTAAATGTTTCTACTATATTTGTCCAATAAAGCTGATAAATCAGAAATAAATCAGAAAAAACAGCAGATATATTACAGTACCTAATTCCTCAGATGTAGTTTTTCGTACCATAACGGCAATGGCCTTAATTAAAAAAAAAGTAATAAAATATTATCAGTCTTCAAAATAATAAATTGATACGAATTCATAAAAAACCCAGAACCCAACGCGTCCCTAGTTACGTACAGGCATGTAAACAGAATGGTTTTCTCTTATACACGTAACATTTAAGGCCCATACAGACCGGACGCGATTCGGCAACGCGACGCGAATTTTCAATTTTCAATGACATTTAACTTTACTATTTTTCTATGTTTTTCCAATATTCGGAACCACTTAAGCAATTTTAGCTATTTGGTCTGCATATCTTGTAAAATTTTTATCCGTTGACGGTTTTATTTGTTTTTAAAAACTGAAAATTCGCGTCGCGTTGTCGAATCGCGTTCGGTCTGTGTGGGCCTTTACGCACAAGTTGTAACGCATTAACTGCATCATTATAACAATGCTGTTCCAACAACTTGACAACAAGATGTGTTCGCTCGATCTGCAGCTTGTTCCAAGCTTGTTGACAAGTTGTCAAAGGCTTGCTGACAACTTGCTACAAGGTTGTTCAGCTCAAGAGACTTGTTACAATTGTCGTCCTGCAATTCATCAATTTGTCAACAAATTGTGAGTGACAAACTTGTAGCAACTTGATAAAATAACAGCATTGTTACAATTGGTTGACAAGCTTGCTACAAGCCTGTTGGGAACACATCTTGTTGACAAGTTCTGAGATTTTTACATGTGTAGACATAAAAGATCGACTTATAGCCTTGGGAGAAAGAATGTTTGTTTTTATTCTGCCCAAGCGTATACTTGTAGCCTAAAGCATTCCTAGGCGAGTGGGGAATATTTAAAATCTTTACAGAATAAGTTTTTACAAAATTCTGTTTTTTCCAAGCAAAACAAAATAAATATATGCAAAAATTAACAAAGACTAAATTACAATAAGTAAACACAGTTATAAAGCTTACCAAAACCAGTGCAACTTGTCGTCGCATGTTTGAGTCTTTGACTTCAAAGGTTGAAACTTGAATGAATGAATCCCGTCGTTCAGTAACTACTGCATATTAAACAAGTAATGCGTCAAATACCAGAGACGCACATGCATAGTCTGTCTAGCTTGGTTACGCACATAATGCAGGTCCTAAAGAGTAATTATAGCAACGGCTGACCACAAAAAGCAACAATAAAACAGGTATTTCAAAACCAATTTATTAGTCACGACTAAATGCGAAAGGCACAGTGCTTGCGTCGTTCATTCTCTCAACAAATTTTAGGGAGGTTCAGATTTTGACTTCCACTATACCGCCACGATTAATCAATCAGATGCATTTATTCTACCCGATTAACCAATCAAATGCATATTACGCCTGTGAGAGGTAGTGGAAGTCAAATCTGAACCTCTCTCAGGGCCGGAACTACTGGGGGATGTGGCGGGTGTAACACCCCCAAAGAAAAGTCAAGAAAGAGGGCCCAACTTGCCCAGAGGGGCCCCCGGAATGCTGGAATTGCGGAAAGTGTTAAATATTAAGAGGCAATTTTTTTCAATGTCATGTATTTTCAATGAAAAGTGTTCAAAACCTAAACTCTTTTTGGCGTTAGTCTCAAAATTACTTTGTTTTAGCTTTACTCTCTAGTTTATAGAGTTAGCAACCTTTTTAAATGCATCTGCCGGTTGAGAAACATAAAATAATAGTTAAAAATTGTCAATTAAAATACAATTATCAATGATGCTTTAAAATTGACGCCACATTTACAGCCATATAAGCAAAACTTACTGAACTTCAGACATCCGATTTTCTCTTTGGCGTATCATCTAAAATATCTTCATTTTAGCATTATTTTACAGATAAAGCACTAAACATACTCTTTAAGTTTGTTTGCCGATCACTAAACGTATCGAAAAATAAAAATTTTGAATTTAGTCATAACCTCAAGTGGTATATTATACGTATTAGTTTTGAGCGCGTGTTACGTAACATACAAAAAACTCCTCTTAAGGAATTTTCTAAAAAATTGAGGTCGAAAAAGGTCTGAAAAAGTATTTTTAACCCCCCGGAAAAATTTTTTTGAGAGGGACCTCCAAAAAGGAGGGGGCCCAAATTTTTTAATTCACTCCCCCAACCAGATACCGCTTGGCACGGCCCTGACCTCTCTGATGCCTGATTATAATTACTATATACAGACGCAAAAACACGCAAGTTCTCGCAGATCCCCTTCAAAATACTTTTCCATCGAGTGAGGACAGTGAGATGCCCAAAATTTAGAACATAAACAAATTACCATGAGAATAGTTTAATTATACGACACATTTATTACTTTTTATTGTATTATTAGGTTATACAACATAATTCATTAATCTTATAAAATTCATGCCGATAAATCACGGGTGTAGATAAAAGGCGGACGGATAAAAGGCGGACGGCGGAGCATTTTATAAACACATGATTACTACCGCAACTTATTATAATACCCTAAAAGTAAATTAAAGTATACCAGCTTTACATCTGTAAAATGAATATGTTTTCACCCGTTCGAATTCTTAGGAATGCAATTTTTTATATGTGCCCACGAAATAAAAAAATCGTTCAAGAGCCATGAACGACAGAAAAAGATCAAGCAGCATTACTTAGCAGGTTAAAACATTATTGGGCTCAATGAAAATCTACCCCATCAATCCGCCCCTATAATATATGATATTTCTAAAATCCATATATAGAATAGTCGTCGCCTGCAAATAGGCCATTTCTACGTGTGAAGCTCTTAGGTTTATAAGTAAATTAAAATGGGGATTATTTTCATTATAAAACAACAAGTCAGCACTATTTAAAGTGCGAAATTGTCAGCAAGTAAATATCATTTAATATAGCCCTGCCTAACAGAATCTCCAAAACTAAGGCGCTTTTTTACAATATTTCTAAAAGTTTCCCGAGAAAGACAACGTATGGCCTATCATACATACGTATTGAATGCTGATTAAAAAATTTCATTGCTAAAAATTCGAACGGGCGAAAACATATTCATTTCACAGATTTAGCTAAGACTGGTATACTTTAATTTAGGGCATTATAATTCGTTGCGGTAGTAATCATGTGTTTATAAAATGCCCCGCGGTCCGCCGTCCGTCCGCCTTTTATCTACACCCGATAAATCACATATACATTATAATTTATGATTTAATTTAAGCTGTGGCTTACTTTATTCTAACTTACTCTATTATAAGTAGGTTAGTTTAATTTAATTAAAATTAGTATTATTTATTACATATTTTTATATATTAATTAGAAATTATTATTATTTATTATTAATATTATTCAAGCCGTGGTTTACTTTCGCTGGTTTAAATGGTCCTAATCAAATATATATATACATAAAATTTTATTTTAACATGCTTGCCCCAACAAATTGTATGAGGTAGGACAATTACTAATTTTTAAAAACAAATTATTCAAATTAGGTGCAGTGAGATTATTTAAGATTTTGTATATAAAAATCGATTTCAAATAATCTCGCTTTTCAAATAATCTCTAAAGTTTCCCAAGCGAGTGTTTCGAACACGTCAGCCGTCCGTATATCATAAGTTGTCCCCGTTAATTAACAATTATTCGCCGAAGGCGAGGTGATTATCGGTGAATAAAAACCGAGACGAAGTAGAGGTTTTTATTCACGATAATCACCGAACCTGAGGTGAATAATTGTTTTAGTATAATTTCATAGGTGATTATTTGGGAAAAATAAGAAAATACACATTTCTTCGTCATTTAATTGACAAAAAGGCTCCGGCCGCCATTTTGAAAATCGCTTAGGTGATTATCGCGTAATAATCACCTCATCGGCAACCAATCAGCGTTTCAATAATCACCTATGTAATTATACTAATACTTAATATTAAGGCTGCTCGAGATTGATATTTCTGTAGCTTTTCTTTGAGCCCTAAATTTACCCTGAGAGATGTAAACGTAAACCAAAAATTCTAAACCAACCTAATTGTGATCCTTATTAACAACAATAGGCTGCTTCATCGGATGATAATACTGGAATCCAGGCTTCGCAGATAAATCGCGTGGATATTCGTCTCTGGTGACATTATTTACTTCGCAAATTTTTTCCAACTTGTCAAAATTAAAAGATCGACATTTGTTCATCATGCATACAATTAAACACTGCGACGTATCCTCTATCCCATGATCCTTTGCAACGACATGGTTTACCAAAGCAGTGTTTGAACCACCAACTGCACCAAATAACAGCGGGACGGATCGGAATGGCGCGAAAGCCTCGTCTAAAAAGGATAGAAATATGTTTTTGACGTTACGCCAAGGCAATAGTTTTTTGAAACTAAACTGACTATTTATAGATAGATTTATCAGTTCTAAACCGTTCTCTCAGTGAAGGTCGTCACTTATTGATCTATATAGATTTACAGATTTACTGTAGAAGGAAATCCAAACTAAACTAACTTTATACTTACAGTATACAGTGTGGAGCCCGGGGGAAAACGTTTCAAGGGATCCCTACATTTTTGGCCACAGTTTGCATTAGGCAAACTAATGCAAACTGTGGCCAAATCCCGAATTTTTGGTATATTTTTCACTTTTCAGAAATTTTGCTCTTCTTTTAAGCCGCTTAGCCCCTCACTTTTACCTCTGGGAGCCCCATAGCCCCAGACACTAACGCAGCCAAGATTTATATTCTCCGTTAAGCAATCTTGCATCAAGAAATTGTAAGGGACTTCGTTGCTTTGGGGTCCCTTTTTCAACTGGGGGCCCATGCCAAAGTACCCCTCCAATCTTCCATGCCCCCCACCCCCCTCGGCGGCCCTGCTCAGAGGTAAAAGGCCTTGCCCTGGGGACTGGCCAAAGTCCTTCGCTCCAACCACTAGCCTGGCGGGCGACTTCATCTACAAGTCTAGTGATGTGCCACCTTGATAAAGAAGAATATTAATATTCCGAAATCCTTCTAAAAACTTACAGTTTTTGTCATTTTCGAAGCAATATCTCATAGGAAAGTCAAACGCAGAGTTCTCCAGTGCATACACAAACATTCCAGGACAGTTAATGACAGAAATATAGAGAGCTTTGTAACAACAATCTCCATTGTAGTGGATGCAAACTTTTTTTCTTAACATGCCATCCTCAAGTTTAGGATGATCACCAGAGAGCCAGCCTGGGGCACCTGTGCCACATGACGAAGGTGGCGGGCATGATGTGACAAGCTGCAAGGGAGAAAAATTACAAAACCACAATCGGGCGAACAAAAATATGTCGACACAAAAATAGATATATAAAGAGAAAACGATACGAACTAAAAAAAGAGCAAGGAAAAGAAGTAAACTAAACCAAAATTAAATTTATTTCAACCGGATAGTTCAATCAGTTTTGAGGCAATTCCTTGTAATGGTCCAGTGTCACTACCAAGCATTGATAAAATATTTTTCATCCTGGCAGCAGGCTTCCCAGACCAAAAATTTCCTGTCAATTTTTTTTATAAATTTGAATTTTGATTGTAATTCAATAACAGCATCGTATATACCACCTTAATAAGTCATATACTACCTCAATATTAAGAAAAATATAGCGGTAGCACTGCCACATGATACAAATTTTTATGTTATGATTGCTGTATTTATGCTCTAATTGTGATGTTTGTTACTTTCATGCTGATTTTTGAAATTTCTCGAGCTTCATTCTTGTATCTTGCTTTTCCTTAAAAAATTCCTGTGAGATTAAAAAAATTTCCTGGCAGCATGCTGCCATGCTGGCGGACTTTCTCATACCTTGGTCACTACAGGAAGAATCCTAAGCTTTACTTATTAAAAGGAGAAACATCAGAATAGATGAATGTCCTGATATCTGCTAAACCTAAAAATAAGACGTTTAAAACGGACAAACTATTATACCCTGAAGTTTTGAAAACTATATCGAGCCACCTTAAGGAGGCTCCCTACAGTTTCCAGTATATATCAGTGTTTTAAACTAAAAGCTATTTGAATAAAAAAACCCTCATTTTTTGCACAAGCCATTGTTTCCTCTGATATAAAAAAGTAATTTTAACCCCCAATCGCTACTCTTCATGTTACCATGACAACATGACGTCGTCATCTATACAGCGTATATCAACCAAAAAAGCCGCCTTAGCGGACAAATAAGCACGGTGACCTACCTTTTTTATTGCAGAAAATACATTGTTATGAAGTTTTGAATCTTTTTTGAAAGTTATTTGAAAATTGCCAGTGTAGTTTTCGAGAAACTGAATTTCAGCCTTTCCAAAGGCTAAAATGCAATCTAAAAGGCTGAAATTCAGTTTCTCAAAAACTACACTGGCGATTTTCAAATAACTTTCAAAAAAGATTCAAAGCTTCATAACAATGTATTTTCTGCAATAAAAAAGGTAGGTCACCGTGCTTATTGTCCGCTAAGGCGGCTTTTTTGGTTGATATAAGCCATATAGATGGTGACGTCATGTTGTCATGGTAACGTGAAGGGTAGCGATTGTGGGTTAAAATTACTCTTTTATATAAAAGGAAACAATGGCTTGTGCAAAAAATTAGGTTTTTTAGACTCAAATAGCTTTCAGTTTAAAACACTGACATATATTGGAAACTGTAGGGAGCCTTCTTAAGTGAAATTAAAGTCGGAAAGCTGCGTATTGCAGTAAATGAATCCTGCGGTAGCAGATTTAAATTTATATAATAACGTTATGAATTCAACTTTTTCAAGCGCTTTCATTGGTCGAGAGCCATGATCTATTAGAGGACAGACGCACGGAATTACGTCACACAAAACCTCATCCGATAGCACTAATTCCCTTATTTGTATAGATATGTACGCGTCATATTTGTAAAATTTAGACTTTCAAATTTCCAAATGTTTGGGTGGATAAAATTCATAAAAAGTAAGCTATTTACCTGTTTAATAATTTTCTAGCTTTCGACTAAGATTCAGTCATCATCAGGAATGATGATAGGTTACATTACATCGATATATATATATAGTGAAGATTAAGTAATTTGATATGTACAAAAACGATTAGTTAAATATTACAAGTTCTTTTGATGCCTTAGTTCCGTAATTAAGATCAGGTTTAAGTCGTCTAATGGCAAGTGCTTCCTTAAATAGCAATAAGGACCAATGATCAGGAAGCACTTGCCATTAGACGACTTAAACCTGATTATGGGCGTACCGGAAGGAAAAAATTAGGGGGACGGAAAGAAAATTGCCCGACTTTTCGGGATTCTGCCCGACTAGTACCAAAAAATTTTTTCCGGAAAAATTTCCGCCAAAAAAATTTCGGTCTGTGTACCATTTGAGGGGTCAAAAAAATTTTCCGGACAACCAATATTTTTCGGAACATAACAAAAATTTTCGAAAAATCACAAAATTTTCCAAAAAATTGACTTAATTTTAGACAAAATTGACAGAATTTGTCCCATTTTCTTTAATTGCAAACCAAAATTGCCCGACTGTTGATCGAATATTGCCCGACTGCCCAAAAAACTGGGGGGGCTACCGCCCCCCCCGCCCGGTACGCCTATGAACCTGATCTTAATCACGGAACTAAGGCATCAAAAGAACTTGTAATATTTAACTAATCGTTTCTGTACATATCAAATTACTTAATCTTCACTATATATATATATATATATATCGATGTAATGTAACCTAGCATCATTCCTGATGATGACTGAATCTTAGTCGAAAGCTAGAATATTATTAAAGTGTTTATTTTCGGAGTTACCGTTGTTTTATATTTTATTAAAATACTCAGTGGTTCCCGTAATTTTTACCTGTTTAAATCGGGGGTTTTCTTTTTATTATATAAAACAAATAGATAAGATTTTGCCGCTGCCTGTTCAGTTATAGATACACAATATGACGTCATAATGTTGGAAGAACAAAAAAGTGACCCACTCGCCTCGTGAGCCACTTTCTTGTTTTTCCTACATTATGACGTCATACTGTGTATCTATATAACTGAACAGACAACGGGAAAATCTTATCTATTTGTTAAGCATAAAAAAACCCACAACAAAAAAGGGTTGTAAATTATAAAATATTATTATAGAACATAAGAAGAAACATCATTCAATAAAGTACGAGATCATCTCGATTTTGAGCCATATCCGAAAACTATGAGCTGGAAATATGAGTAACTTTGTGTGCGGAAATATTTGAATCCGAGACAATTCGACGTGTAAACATTTCGACGTGTTACCTCAATGAATCTGCAACCTTTTCTGACGGCTTTATAAACACTTTCTTCGCTTGTTTTTATAGGTTCAAGGCTTATACTAGTCAGACCATCCTATTACCTTCATATACAGAGAGCTCTGTGGGTTGAAAAACGTGTACATTTTGTTTTGATCAAATGTGGAAGCATCTGATTTGGGAGCGACTGAAGGATCTTCTATTGACAAAATATTTCTGGTTGGATCTCGTATCTCTTCTGGTTTCATACACATGTCATAACGACCTGGAATTGAAGGAATTTAAATTACACCAAGGAACTTAAAAAGAGCGGAATGACACTTTTTTTGGACTAGTATCCCAAAGGTCGCGGGTTCGATTCCCGCCGTGGTCAGGCAAACTTTTCAGCTTACTCGGTGTGGATGCACACTCAGAGTAACATCACAAACATAATTAAAAAGAGAGGTTCAGATTTAACTTCCACTACCGCTACCTCTCACTGGCTTCATACGCATTTGATTGGTTAATCGGGTAGATTAAACACATCTGATTGGTTAATTGTAGTGGTAGTGTAAATCAAATGTGAATCTCTGTACCACAGAGTAGAGGCCACGACACGGAAATCCGACTTCCTGTCGGCGCCTATGATTTTGGCGTAATCGTTGCAATGCTATCGTCATGTTCCAAGCCAGTGCGCTTACAAGAGGCATTCACCCCCTTGACAATATTCAAAATGGCGGACATTCAAACCGTGTCTGGAGATTGACTAAGGTTAGAGATACAGTGACTTTTTATCTGACCAAAGACGAATCATTCGTCAAGCATTTATTTATCCACCTGATGGATTAACCGTGATGATTCGTTTAATAAAGCTCTTATCACGGCTTTGATAAAGATCCAACATGACATTTCAAAGTTGAATTAGTTTAGTTTGATCCCAGTAATAGTGTAAAGTTCATTTAAATGATCTTTTGTGGTCAGGAAAAATTTCCGTGACACAATAGACAACTTGCATGTTAGACTAATTTTTGATTTAGGCAAAAAAAAGTAATTCCCGTAAAGAACTTATTAAAATTAGTAAAATTGCAAAATTTGGTTGCGAAATGTTGTAAAATACAGAAAATATAGCCTTGCGAAGTTTGCATATTTTCAGTATATTTATATTACGTGCGGAAATTGTTACCATTTTTGAGCCGAAAATGGTAACAATTTCCGCACGTAATACAAATATACTGAAAATATGCAAACTTCGCAAGGCTATATTTTCTGTATTTTACAACATTTTGCAATCAAATTTTGCAATTTTACTAATTTCATTATGTTCTTTTTAACTGTTGTGTTTGATTCCCTTCTCGTTACTTAGATTAAAATTTAGTCTAACATGCAAGTTGTCCATTCATCCCGGCAAGTCCAGCTAGCTCATTTGAATAGCCCGTTACTGTGAACACAAAGCGAACTATGCAGCCGATGAAGCGCTCGAGGAAGTGAGGAGCGAGTTACCACAAACCTACAACGAACGATTTTAGAATGATTGGAAAGTCCACAAAAATGTCCATACCTGCAATAGTCACGGTGATGGGATAGTAGTCTTTGCCATGAATATTTGTTGCGTAACACTCGTATTTGCTACTGGATCCTTTCGTGACATTGATCGTCCATTTTAGATATGTGTGTGTAGTTTTGTTCTGTACGACGACATCATCTTTCACCCAGACTATTCGAGGTCTTGGATGACCCATAGCTGGGCATGTAAGCACAGCGACATGTCCCTCGTAAAATATACGACTGCGTGACCCAGGTTCATCTGTACGTAATGTTATAAAAGCTGTGAAAGAGAAAAAATCATTCGTAAACTGATATCTAGATTGGTTTAGGGGCAGGGGCGGCGCTAGCCTATAAGTGAAATTTTGCCGAGTCGTTTCCACTGCTGCATATTAAGCAGTTTTTCCTAATTAATATTATCTTGCAAAAATACTGCTCAAGATAAATCAACCTCAGAAATGCAATTATAAGTGCATCCATCTTAATAGTGTATAAACATATAGACCATCGAATATTGTATAGCAAATGCATTCTTAGCCACTGTGAGATATCTGATTTTCAAAATTGTCTGGGGCCGAAAGCATGCTCCCAGTAGTCCCCCCCCCCCCATTACATCTAATTAAAATAAACTGTTTAGCATTGTGATTGGATGAAAGTGCTCATGCATCACTCGCAGCGAGCTGCGAGGAGCTTCGTGCGAGGACTGGAAATCCGCCTTCACACACGGTTACAATGTCCAAGTGTCGATTTACTTGATTATTAAGAGAAAATTTTTCAATGAACCTCTTGCGGTCCCAGAAAGCAAAATATTTTTTCCACCCCTGGTTGATAACCCACTTCCATTAGGGCGTCTTCATATTTGAGGCCAGGATTATATGTAATTGAATGAGTACGTTTTTGGATCCATTTTACATCTTCACTGAGGTACTTTGGCATATATAGGGACTGGTCAAATACATGTCTTGTAAAACTGTACATCATTCTTTAGCTCGTTTTAGCTGGACCAAAAGATATCCTCACTTGGAGCATTTGGACTTAATTATATTATTTACGTGCATGTGTGTTCCATTTATAAGTTCGATCTAATAGTAACACCCAATATAGTTTTGCCAATGCTAAGCGGGATGATTTTGATGCATTAAAATAAGTCACGGTCCATGATCCAGAAAAACTACATTACTTTCTAGTTATAGATTTCAGTATATTGTAAACAAAAGGTTGTTCAAGCAGCAATATCATAATAATTTTCTTAATCTTGAACTATATACGAGATCTTCTCAACAACATTTGAATTCTTTCAACCGGCGTTTCAACTTTCGTAAGCCTATAGTGATTTATTTTGAAATCACCATGAATGAAGATTAATTTGCTATCAAAATGCGCCAAATTTCACGAAGACTTCAAATCTGGCGGTAACTGGAGTCAAAGACCTGTGCATAAGGTCCTAGTGCCAGTTTTCCTCAACAGACACTGCGCGCGAGGCGAATTTCCTATATATATCATAACAAATATCGCGCATATACTCAAACGAAAAGTGCCCTTCGAAGTAAGTATTATTTTCACATAAAAGTACATTCAAAAGACGTCTAAAGGCCTATTCTTTCCTATATCGTGGGTAACTGAATACAAATATAATCGTAGAGCAAACGTAAGCGAAAAAACATCAAATTTTGGGGTGATTTGCTTCTTAATCTTGAACTATATACGAGATCTTCTCGACAACATTTGAGTTATTTCAATTACCGGCGTTTCAACTTTCGTAAGCCTACAGTGATTTATTTAAATATCAAAATCATCCCGCCTTCCATCCCGTCTCGGCAAACCGCGGGATCATGAAAATAGCTAGCCCTTCAGTGTGGATAACCTTTATATATAGATGCCTAAAACTATAAGTCACGCGGTGCATGATTCAGCAAAACGACATTATTTTCTAGTAATAGATATTATACAGTATATTGTAAACGAAAGGTTGTTCATGCAGCAATATACAGCAGTTTGAACTTTCATTAAGCCAGGTGATTTATTTCAACACATCAAAATCATCCCGTCTTGTCAAACCGGGATCATGTAAACAGCCCCTTGAGGCATTTTTTTCTAAGTATATCGCCTATATTTGCGATGAAAAGCGTTCAGAACATAAAACCTTTTGCATGCAGGTGTACCTCTCAAAATTATTTTGTTTTAGTTTTATTTTCTAGTTTATACAGTTAGCTACCTTTTCAAATGCATCTGGCGGTTGAAACATAAAATAGTAATACAAATATCGTAATATATAATCCTCAATGATGTTTTAAATTTGACGCCATATTTTACTGCAGTATAATGTAAGCAAAAAGACCTGAATTTGACTGCAAAAAGTATAGAAACGCGGAAAATGTTTTCTATAGTATTTCTTAATTATTATATATTTCTATGATCATTATTCTTCTTCTTATTATACGAATCAAATGAGACAAACTTACGCTGTGTTTCTTCATAAATTTCTATTTCATAAATACTAAGAACTTGAGGAAGCTGGGACTCAAAGTAAAAATAACGACCGGGTTTGCGAGGCAATACGTATACGACGGAGTGTTTCTTTTTAGAGAAGTCGTGGACGTCGCCAATCTTTGCATTGTGCTTCCCATTGTCAGTCAAATCATCCCCTATTTGGCAATATAGTAAAAATAACAATGTAAGCTTTATTCACTAATTATTACCTCAGCCAGGTTGTGTCTTCTGAGACCTATTTATGTTTTCCGAGACCTAACCATGAAGAGCAGTAACAAGCCCTCTGGCAGGAATCAGACCTGCGGACCTGCGATTCGGACGACGAGCACTGCGCTCTAACCATCTGAGCTTTTGAGTGTAGTTGTCGAGCTCTAACCGGAATTTTTTGTATTATAGCTAGCTATATTATATATATATATATATATATATATATATATATATATATATATATATATATATATATATATATATATATATATATATATATATATATAATGAGTGACAAGGAACGAAATCTGCCTCGGCCTTTTAAACATTAATAATATTATATACAAAATAAAAGCCACGACCAAAAGAAATTAGAATATATAATTCAAAAATTTAAATTTTCGACTGCATGTAACAGCCTTCGTCAGAAACTAAGTACAAACTAAATCAAATAAGTCTCTTATATATCCTATGTGTAAACTAATTAGAAATTCTAATTACAAGATGGTAAATACAAATGCATTGATACTATTGTTGCACGAAGTCGTGATGACCATTAAGTCCCCCCTGGTTGGTTAACAAGGTACCAATCCAGAAATTCTCACATTCTCTAAGAGTGTGATGCCTTTGATCAATCAACATAAATTTTAAACTAGAGTGGTCAGCACCATGGCAATCCAAAAAATGATTGACAATAGCACACGTTCTCCGCTTACGTTTTATGTGTGACTTATAATTAGCAAGTCGGGTCTTAAAATATTGTATAATATTATTAATGTTCAAAAGGCTGAGGCAGATTTCGTTCCTTGTCACTCATTTCATATTATTACTTAATCTGTTCTCCATGGAGCGACCAGAAGTTAATAATCTAGGACAACTTTTTAACCGTTTATTTTCATGTCAAGAAAGGTCTCTACGATTTGAACATCACATTGCATTGATTACGCACTATCAAGCTCGAAGAACGATTCCTAAAGGTTTCGAACTTAAGTTTCACTCTGGTGTTATCGATGATGCGTTGCAGTCTCGAGTTAATTCGATTTTATCGAAGTGCTCTATGAGACTTATGAGTGCTTTTAAACGATATTATAAACGGAAACTTCCGCATGTGAGGCAACAAAAGGTTAAGTTGGTCGAGACCTTAAAAAGAGAACATCCAAGAGAAGTGAATTCAATCATGAAAAGGTTAGACGATCGAAACAAAAGGATTAAGGACATGAATGAAACTCGGCGAGGTTTAAAGTATATTCGTGATGGCATTCCACAGATAGAAAGGACAAATCCGAATTCAGTGATAATAACATCTACTCAAGTGAGTCAAAAACATCAGCCTATTAATCTTACAGATATTCCTGTTGATGAAGCGTTAATTAAACTTTGTAGTCGGGGTCCCTCATTTGTCCCTACACCGGTAAGCATTGACTGGAACGATTAACAACAGAGTTGGTTAACATTTAAAAGGAAAGTCAGATGGCGAGCGTTTTTTCATTCATCTAGTGACGATCAGGAGGTACCCAGAACGCAGGAAGTTAACGCTTTGAACGCCCCATACGAGAAGTCGACAAAAGAACCGCCGCTAGCTAATGTACCAGCTATCGAAGTATTTTTACAACGCGTTGAGTGGGATTTGTTTGAGAAGCCGGTGTTTAAGAACACAAAGGATAATTTATTACCAGAAGAAAGAAATATTTTGAACAATTTCCGAGCTACGCCCATTGATGAACGGAATTTAGTCATTAGACAACAAGATAAGGGTAACAACTTTGTTTTTCTCGATACTAATTTAGACGAACATAAGGTTAAAGAACAAATGGATAGGGGTTTCTTTGAGCTTTTGAACGAAGATCCTACCTTGGATACGGTAAAGGAAATTGATGAATGGGTTGATAGGTGGAAACCCCATGGGCTTTCAGATAAGTGGGTTAGATATATTACCAGTAATAGCAGGGTTCATCCAGGTGTGAATTATCCCTTAATTAAAACTCATAAACCTGATAATCCCGCTAGAGTAATTACGTCAGGTTGTAATACTCCTATGGAGAATTTGTCCTATTTTGTTGAAAAGTATTGTAAAGTTGTGGTTGATTCCATTTCCAGTCGGGTGAGGGATACTTCACACATGCTTGATATTATAGATGAGCTTAACGAGATAGGCATTTCTGATGGGGACGTGTTGGTTAGTTTTGATATTATCAACATGTTTCCGTCTATTGATAATGATACGGGAATTGAACGAGTACGTCGTAAGCTTATGGATTTTGTGGATAAATTTGATGTACCAGTAGAATGTATTATTGAGGCTCTAGAATTATGTCTTATAAGAGAAATTGTTCGGCATTTCGCGGACAATATTGGCTGCAAACTAATGAAACAGCCATGGGACCTAAGAATTCCTGTTCGTACGCTGATATTGTCGCCGAACATGTAGACAGAAGAATGTTGGAATCTAAGACTTCGTATCCCGAGTTGAAGTCTTGGTTCCGATTCCGGGATGACACGTCCGCACTTTGGCGGGGTACAGTGTCGAGACTTAATGAATTTTTTGAGCTTTTAAATTCGTTTGACGCGCATTTACAGTTTACTATGGAAGTGGGAGAAAGTTCTTTGCATTTTTTGGATCTTCTTATTTCTATTTCCAATAACCGGTTGGAAACATCAGTGTATAGTAAGCCCATTGACCCACGCCAATTCGTGTCATCCTGGTTCGCAAAAACGTGGCATTGCTAAGGGTGTAGCTTTGCGGTTACGTAGGATATGTTCCGATGAGAATGATTTTCGGGAAAGAAGTAAGGAATACATTCAATATTTACTTGAGTGCGGACACGATAAAACACATGTTTTAGAAAAATTTAAAGAAGTTGCGGATATAACCAGGGAAGAAGCTTGCAGAAGTAGAAGGAAGGTTGACGGTGGACATTGTGTTTTTAGTGTCAAGTTTAATCCTAGGGCCCCTGATATTCGTGAATTGTTTAGGAAACATAGATCGGTTATAGATTATAATCCACATGCTAGAGAGATTTTGCCGGATAGAGCTCTTCGTGTCTCATATAAGCGTAATGCCAATTTAAAAGAATTATTAGCACCATCTAATCCGTATATTAATAAGAACATAGGGGATTCACTTGTTTGTTATAAGTGTTCGGCCAAGCGTTGCGATTGCTGTAAAAATTTTCTTGTTTCTGGAAGTAGTTTTCGTTCAGTGATTACCAAGAAGATTTTTAAAATTGGTAAATCTCTCACATGTGGATCTGAAAATGTAGTATATCTTGCGCAGTGTGTGGCTTGTGGTCTGCAAGGTGTAGGTTCTACCATAAATTTTAAGACCCGACTTGCTAATTATAAGTCACACATAACACGTAAGCGGAGAACGTGTGCTATTGTCAATCATTTTTTGGATTGCCACGGTGCTGACCACTCTAGTTTAAAATTTATGTTGATTGATCAAAGGCATCACACTCTTGGAGAATGTGAGAATTTCTGGATTGGTACCTTGTTAACCAACCAGGGGGGACTTAATGGTCATCACGACTTCGTGCAACAATAGTATCAATGCATTTGTATTTACCATCTTGTAATTAGAATTTCTAATTAGTTTACACATAGGATATATAAGAGACTTATTTGATTTAGTTTGTACTTAGTTTCTGACGAAGGCTGTTACATGCAGTCGAAAATTTAAAATTTTTGAATTATATATTCTAATTTCTTTTGGTCGTGGCCTTTATTTTGTATAATATTATTAATGTTCAAAAGGCTGAGGCAGATTTCGTTCCTTGTCACTCTTAATATATATATATATATATATATATATATATAAAAGTTATAGTAAATAACAACTAATTTTACTGTAGTTACAACATTAAGTGGATAAAGAAATATATACAATAGATAATATATAATAGAAATATAGGAAAATTTAGTAATTTAGTTAGTATCAGGCCGAGGCAGATTTCGTTCCTATATATATATATATAACTACAGACGGTACCGTTTCGGCCTTATGGGCCTCATCAGTGTAGTGCTGATGAGCAGGATGAAAGTAACTGCTATTTACAGTTACCTTTGAT